TTGGGGCCCCCTCTGCTGCTGCTGCTGCTGCTGCTGCTGCTGTTGCTGCTGCTGCTGCTGCTGCTGCTGCTGCTGCTGCTGTGTCAGAAGGGGGGGTTTGCTGGGCTGTGGGGCTGCCTGTCTTGGGGTCTGAATGCATGCGAGAGATTAAAGGCGTACTTGAGGGCTCTGAAGGGTTAGAGACAGCAGAAAAAGAGACAGATAGAGGCACTGAAGCTGTACATAAAGGAGACAGATCTGTCGGCTCACACCCCCTCCATCGTTGCTGCAAACTCAGAGCCCTTTGCACATAATAAATATCTTCAGGGACCTCTTCTTCCTCGGCCATCGCCCCTTATTTACTTCTTTCACAAGGGTTTAGGGTTTAGGGTTTAGGGTTTAGGGTTTAGGGTTTTGAGATGAGACACACAAGAACGAGAAGCAGCGGGTAACGCCGTCTTCCTGCAGTGTACATACCAACAGAAGCAACTCAAACCCCAGACAAGCAGATGGATTGGAAGCAACTCGAGGGTTTAGGGTTTAGGGTTTAGGGTTTAGGGTTTAGGGTTTAGGGTTTAGCGAGTCCGCTGCTGGTGGGCGGCGACTGGGAAATTGAGTTTAATAAGGGAGCAGAAATGAAGTCTACTGGGTCAATTGAGCAGGATTTAGGGTTTAGGGTTTAGGGTTTAGGGTTTAGGGTTTAGGGTTTAGGGTTTTCCAGCCGATAGCTGCTTCTGCTCCGGCTGCGGTCCTGGTGTATCTGCAGCTGTGGTGTTTGCTGCTGCATTTCTGTTTGTTTCTCTTTCTTTCGTAAGCAATTTATTTTTAATTATATATTAATTTATAAAATATTTATTATTATTATCCCCTTAAACTAATATAATACCTAAACCCCCTACAACCTTCAGGGCTCGGGCCCTTGGGGGCCCCCCTGTTACGGTTGAGGGTTTAGGGTTTAGGGTTTAGGGTTTAGGGTTTCGGCAGCAACAGCAACAACAGACACACCTTCTATAAACTCTCCTTGGAGTGTACAGGCGCCTTAGCTACAGGGCCTTCAAGCTCTTTATAGGGGCCCCCAAGGGGCTTTTACCCTCATAGAAGAGAACAGCAAAACACCGCTAGCTGCAGCTAGCTAGAGCTAGCTAGCTGTAGCTAGGTGTGGCTAGCTGCAGCTAGCTGCAGCTAGCTGCACCAGTTGCGGAGTCAGGCGAAGCCGAGGATCTGCAAGACAGGGACTTTGCTGCCTCTGCTGCTGCTATTGCTGCTGCTGCTGTGACTGCTGCTCCTGCTGCTGCTGCTACTGTGATTGCTGAGCCTGCTGCTGCTGCTGCTGCTTGGGGGGTGTGTTTGCTGCTAGCGCTGCTACCAAGGCAGCAGAGGCCCACTAGGGACAGACAGATAAAAAGAAACAGATAAAAGGAGACAGAGATATCAAAAGGAGACAGATAAAAGGAGACAGACAAATAAAAGGAGACAGATAAAACTGAGTAAAAGAAGCAGCAGCAGAGGAGACAAGTAAAAGAGAGAAGCTGCTGCTTTATAAAATATTTAGGGTCCCCCCTACTAACTGCATGCCTTTGCTGTCTCCAGCACTAAACACTTGGGGGCCCCCCTGATGGGGCCCCATTAGGAAGAACCCTAAACCCTTAACCCTAAACAAATACCCTTTAGTTTAGGGGGCCCTACTTAAGTCAGGGGGCCCCTAAATGGGGGCCCCTTAAAACCCCAGCTGGATAGGTGAACCCTCTACTTAGGGCCCCCAATTAACTTAGGGGCCCCCAGCTAACTTAACTTAGGGGCCCCTACTTAGGGGGCCCCCCTTTAAAGTCCTCTTAAGATGGAGGGCCCCCTAATTAGCTCAGGGCCCCTCCTTCAGGGCCCCTGCTTAGGGCAATTCAATCTGAACACACCCTATGCAGCAACTTTGCAGGGGGCCCCAATAGGGGGCCCCTCACAAGGGGCCTCTCACAAGGGCCCCCTCACAAGGGGCCCTCACAAGGGGCCCCCCACAAGGGGCCCCTCACAAGGGGCCCCCCACAAGGGGCCCCTCACAAGGGGCCCCCGACAAGGGGCCCCTCACAAGGGGCCCCCCACAAGGGGCCCCTCACAATGGGCCCCCCACAAGGGGCCCCTCACAAGGGGCCCCCCACAAGGGGCCCCTCACAAGGGGCCTCCCACAGGGGGCCCCCCGCAGGGGCCCCCCGAGGGTTTTGTGTAGGAGAGGAGGAGAGTGAGGGTGGAGGGGTAAGAGTGTTTAAAAGC